GCATCGATGAAAACGAACGCGAAAAACAGGAGAGGCACGTTTTTTGAGAAACTCGTGTCACACTTGCGAGCACGTGATAGAGAGTACGAAATTAAGTGGAAATAATCAGTGATTTGTAACGTGATGTTTTCTGCAACTTTCGTACGGGAATTGGAACTTCCTCTTGATAGTTCTTTTCTAAGGATACATTTTGACAAGCATGACGGTTTTACGTGTGCGAAGACTTTCACTGGTTGCTCTTGTTTCCTTGTCACATTGAAGAATTGATGGTTCCATTGAGAGATTATGAGCGCATAACACTACGTAATAGCATTTGCAAGTAGGCGGATCACAGCTGGATGGTAACCCGAGTTACAAAGTATCAACAGGACATGTCTCCAGGAGAGTTATTATTACGAAAATTCATAACGTCACAAGATTATATAGATTAGTCATGCACACGTCTACATTGTGTAAGATCATAATCTCGTTTTTAATTGAACTATTATCAATTTCTTTCTCACAAACATTCTCCCAAAAAGTATTTACTATAAAAGAAAATATAGTAAAGACGATATACATCAATGAATTGAAGAAACATATCTTGTTTTACCAATCGCCACTTATAAAATTGTCGACCAACGACAAGGATGGTCCCTCATGACCATCGTAATTCATCAATGACCAACGACGATCATAATTCATCTTTAAAATGGATTCAACTGGGTGCTCGTTCGACCTGGCACCCTCGAATTAAGCGTGTTAAGAGATATGCCTGTCTGACGAACGTTGAGCAATTAAATGGAATTGTGACAAACGGTCATGCCCGTTTCGTGATTATTACCATCGTCAAGTCCAGTGCAATGTGATTAAGCAATACGTCCTTGTTTCAACTAGTCTAAGATCATTTTCCGATACATACAGGGGCGGGGCGGATTAACGATCTAGGAATCGAAATTTCTTCGGGTATTCTTGCTAGTTATCGCACCGGGCAAGTAATTGAGGGAAACAGTATACGCGGCCTATGTACATCGATAAATCCTCGGATTATTGCTGCGCGTAATGTTGATTAGAGCACCGCACCGGAACCGCCAAGTATCTACTTATCAACTTGTGCAATTCGTTCTTTTATGCCGGGGGTTGAAAAAAAAAAATGGCAATCGCGCAGAGAAAGTAGCGTGTAGTGGAACGTATCTCGCGATTTAAACGATTTATCATCGAGTACAGGGTCGAACCACTGTTTCTCAACTACGCACGAAGGTGAAATTAGATCAGCCAAAATGTTAACTTGAACGGTCTCGGCAATGTCGACGACGAAATAAACCTGCGTGTTTGAAGAAATTCCACGGTCCTCTCTGAGAGGCAGCGCGTGTTATCTGATAAAAACGCTTAAAATAAAAGTCTACTGGACTGTAAATTACGAACTGAACGGCTACGAGTGCGCATCGGGTCGGCGATAAATTCTTGCGGCAATCTGGAGCTACGAGACGCGAAAAGAGGGACGCGATGAGTAAAAATACAAGACGCGGGACCTTGGCGTAACCTTCGTCATCGCGCTTTCCCTCTTGTACGGTTGGTCCTTAATTGCGGCTATCAGAATCGCGGGCTTGATACGCGAGCAATCTCGACGGGAGTCGGTGCCGAAGCGTGAGAATGCACGTGCGAACGAACATGGAATAGAAAAACGTCATAGAAAAATGGAGAAACGCATTCGGGGACTTTATCTAGTTAGCCGTGATTCATAAACCTGTTTGATTTGTAACGCGGCTGAATGATCTGTAGAATGGAAGGCCTGGTTATGGAATAAAGTGAAACGGAAGGAAAAGGAGAATGAGCAACTCTGTAATTTAGTTTATGTCAGGCCAATGATTAGAGATTTTGAAAAAAAATTGACCAAATATTAAATTCGGCAGAAGTGTTCGAGATGTACATGAATTCATCACATTGTATTTAGCGACTGATAAAGAACTAATAATAAATTATATAATATGGCATTAAAATATACAGAGAATTATTTCATTAAATCGGTGGTAAACTTGATGGTCATATAATGTAAAACGAAACGTGGAGACCAAGTACAGGTTCGATAATAAGACAGGTGTCGAATGATTGCGTTATCCGCGCGCAACAAACTGAATTATTGAACGTGCTCATCGAAAAGAACGTTTCAACTTTTGCGGTGATGAGGCCTTGGTCGAAACGAGGTTTATTAAATGTTAAAAATCTCTATACAACTGACTAATTGGAAGCTTGTGTTTAATTGGCGTTAACAGGCCTTGGGATCGATTTTTGTCTAAAACGAACGCTTTAACCGGGACATCTATTTCCAATGCGAGAAAATAATGAAAGGTCGCGTCAGTTCTTTTCTTAAAATATGTCACCGGCTCACGGTTTTATCCGAACACGTTCGCCGGTAGCTGCAAAAGCGAACGACAAAAGAACGCTGGGAAATCGCGCACGAACGTGCTGATGAAATTAGCAACGCTTTGTTTATGGTATGAATTATTATACTCGCAAAATCAGAGCTCAATGTCGAGCAAAAGATCGTATAATTTTTGGCACGAGACCTTTTTGAAATAATTTGAAAAAATATTTCTTTTCATATTCACGATATATATATCATGAAAAGAGCGACTATTTGTTTCTCAATTTGCATATATATTGATATTATTTGATGTTTAAAAATGTTGTTCAAATATGCAATCGGAAGAACATGTTAATCAACGTTTTAACCATCCCGAATAAGAATGAAAAATATTTGTTTCCCTGTGTAATTTTCGAAATATTAATATTTTCCTGAAATTCTGCAAGCAATTCCTCTAATTGCTTGGACGTATACACTTTTCGATCGACGTTGGAACAAATACCGCAAAAATAATTCAAGGCAGGAGAAATCTACATATCCTTGCGGCGAAGAATTTCGTCATTTGTTTGTAACAATAAAATCGAGAGGGGCGGAGTAAAAAATCGAAACCAAGAGTGACGATGCTCGCGGGATGAAAAAAGGATTGGGCCGTTAACCTTGTCTGACCAGTCGCAACAAGAACGCAAACCGGTATTGGCCGTGCACGCCGTCATATGCATTCTGATAGCTACGCATAATACTTCCCAGAATATTTTTGAGAAAACGAAATCAGCAAACCCCTTGTTTCGATCGATTTACTTAATCGTGCACTGCAGAAATTACTGAAGAACTTTCTCTTTTTCTCATTTTTTAATAAACCGGAGACCTTAAGAATTTTTACAACGACATGAAATAATATGAAGATATTATTATTTCTGTTTTCCTGCAACGATTCGAGCACATCCTGTTCATCGGAATCTGCAACTCTAAACATCCGAACATTATGATCAATGAGTCACATACAAATAACCCGTTCCTCAAGGCAATGAAGAACCTACAGATACAACTCGTTCTCGTGTGTTAATACTACCGTTAAAGGAGCCAGGTCTGTCATGAAGAAGAGAGAATAATCTAACAGATCGCGGGATGAACGAGACGAGCATATTATGCAAGCGAGTTGCCTTGCAGTGCAAGCCGGTCAATGCCAAGGTATTCCACTATGGTCGTTGCTACTCGTCTCAGTCTGTCGAAAGCCGACAATCTCATCCTGATAACTTTGCTTCGTAATAAACGTGAATTTCTTTCCTAAATACGAGTCGGTTTATTAACTATCTATACTCGCATAAGCTATCAGACGGATCTAAATCTAATTTATAGAATTGAAGATAAGCTAATTAGAATGCATTTCTGTTAACTTATACATTTTTTGTTTAAATTGATTATCCACTCTAATTACATGACATTAATATTTTTAAGACATCGAGACCCAGTTGCCTCAAACGAGTTGTTTTAAAGTAGCCAAACACGTCATTACGATAGAATCTTTATTATATGAGAGGAGTAAATCCATCTTTGCAAAGTGTAGTAGTATTTGACTTTCAGAGAGTTAACACACTTTTACCAAGTATCAGAGCGTGATTCTTCATTTTGGAAAATAGATAACTCCCTTTACTTTTAAACATCGCGACAAAGATAAGCCAAACTCCGTGCTGGTTTTAGCTTTCACCGTTTCGTTACGTAAGCGCAATGTTACGAATAACGAAGCGGAATAACTAAAAATCACAAACTAGACGAGATCTCATGTAAAAGGATACTTATTTTTCAGTTAACTTATATTTCACTGCGTGATTGCAATTTACCTGGTGTATTCAATTCAATAAAGTTTACTAGAATGTTTGCAGTTAACACATATTTAATGTTCCAGAAAAAAAACACATTAATTCTTGATCGTTTATAAGCAATTAACAAACCCCATTAAACTAGCCATCATAAATGACATAAAATCGAAAGAAATTTCTATCGACATTTTAGCTTAACTAATGATGTACTCAAGAAACCCTATTCTAAACAACTTATATGTGTAATACAAGAAAAGAGAAGCTCTCTGTCATAACAAGGAAGCATAGTTAAACGAGCGACGTATTGAAAGTAGGCTCTGGGGCATTAGCACGGCGTTAAGGAATTAATGCTGCTCAGCGAGCACGACGCGAAACAAAAAAGGAAAGTAGCTGAAAGTGTAAACCGAATTGAATAATGCGGCAGGGTATACGCGAGTTGTATGCGCTCGTCGCGCGAGCTCAGCAACGTGTTGCCTCGAAACGGTCCTCTCCTTCTGTCTTTCTGTTTCAATTGAAACTATATTTTCCCGATAAATTAGCTCCTAAGTCATCGCAATCTTTCACTGGTTTTGTCAGAGTTACTCCACTCACGGTTCAATGCCACCTTGACGCATTTATGATCTGCATTCATTCAAAGCTATGTGCACACTAACTGAGATAAATTTCGAATTTGTTCTACGTAAATTCTTTTGAAATTATCGTTGATTTTAAAGAATTAACATACTTTATAATTTCTTAATTTAATTAACAAGGATTTTTACAACTCATACTTAAACGGTGAGGCCAGAAAATCTCGTTTCGAGGAACGATATTATTGCAGGCCAGATCGGAACCGTAGCGTAACGATACCTGCTACGCCAGGGGGATCGTTCTTACATCACGTCGCGAAAAATCGGCACTGTGAGTTGCGGAACAAGCTAAGTCGTACCACGTTCTTCAATTTTGCAATATTTCGTTCGATCTATCTGCCCTTCGTGCGCGCAAAAGTACTGAAATGGAACAGCACGTGGAGAACTTTCAATGCATACCCATTCGAAACTTTTGCTGTTTATTACTGATTGGACTTTCATGTTACATGTATTAATCGTGTAAATGAAATTATGAAAGAGCACGCTATTTTTTATTTGTTGCCGGAATTTGATTAAAATATGAGAATACTTCCATCAGCAGCCAGTTTAATTATCAGAAATGCTTTACTATTACTGTCACTAAGTATCGTATATGAGATTGGTTTAAAAATCTAAAAGTGACTCGAAGTACTTATAGTGAAACAAATCTCTTATCTCAATCGAACCCAAGGGAATCTAAACCACGAAATGGATCCCCTATAAATCCATAATCTGAAAAGAACAATCAAGAGACATAAATAACGAGAAAAGAAAGTCCAATCCCGTAATCCGCTTTTTATCATTTAGATTCCTTATTGAGTAAAAAGGCCAAACAATGCGTGGCGCATGAAAGTGAAAGCCCTCGTGTCGAAACCGTTTTTCATTCAACAGCCAAACCCAAGTTATTTGTGTCATCTACGACTCGATCGAACTAAACTATCGATCAACCGAAAGATACTGCCATTCGTGTTACAACAAATGTGCGACCGCGAGTCTTAACCAGCGGCGACTTCCTCCTTTCCAGCTAGACATGTCGCTTGGAAATGGACTCCACCTTTCGTAAAGAACGTCCTTGAGCGAGCCGGTGCACCGGGAAAGGTGATGAAAACTGAACAGTCACGTGTACTATGCCGACGCGAGTGGTTGTTCGTCAGCTTCGCCCCGTTGTCACGCGTTCCACTGCTTTTCTAATTAACATTCGGTACCGTTCAAATGTCGAAGAATGTAGACGACGCTTCAAAGTGCGCAGTCAGGAAACCGTACGATATTTTTTCTCAGGATTAAATAGTTTCTTAGTCGATGTTAAAAAACGCGTTAGTACTTATATCTAATGGCTTCAATAAATATTTTCGTTTCCGGGAAGAGACATGAAAGGAATACCGAATGTCATCGGTAATCATGTGTTAGAAAGTGCTCCTCAAAGAAAAGTAATCGATTAAGTGAATTCGCGACTTTGTAAGCGAAGGAGACCTTCAGAAGATGCACTTCCGCACGAGATGTCTTCCTCGTGATGATTGCGAAGAAAGCGAACAGCTGACGGTGGGAACTATCAGGATCAGCTAATGTGATTCGAATCGATGGAAGCCCGCACTTGTGCTGGATGCACAATCATTTTCAAAGTCATTGCTTCGAAAGTGGAGAAAGCAAAGCAGACGCAGAGGTCGAGGCGCGTTACGCGAGCAATTGTCGGCACGCGGAGTAAATTAAATGCTATCAGCACGGACGTGAATCTTTTTGAAAAGAGATAATCGGAGAGAAATAAAACATTCGCGCGAAACAATTTCTTGGTTTTGTCACGTTTTTGTGTTTTTGTTCCGATTAAAAAGGCGTTTATCCCAAGAAATCGTTGACGTTCGCGTTCGAGTTCTCGCTGTGAACCGCGTGCATGCTCTAAAAAGCTGCGATCTTCTGCGAAGAAGTACAGAACGTCTTAGTGATCCTGTCAATCAGAATTGAGAGTGCTTCGAGGACTGGCATGAAGGAAGGAATCTTTCGCGTAAGCAATACGTCGGAACTAATGGCATATACAAACTTATCTGCTGTGCAAATTTTTTACATTTCCAATCTACTATAATCATCCTATAATTTTGTCGACAAATAAGCACAAGCTACTAGTATCCATCGTTACTGTACATATGCGTATAAAAATCTCCTCGTCCTTTCTACCGTCATCAATAAATCAGGAAACTCAATTAAGTCTATTCAGACATCCTTCGACTTCCCTGCTCGTATAAACAGTTCGAAACTTATGTAGGTGAAGATAAAGGCAGTAAATTCAGATTCTTGTCGGAAACACAGTATGGAAACTTTACTTCCGCGAGATCGACGAAGCCAGCGTTGGCCGAGACTAATGCATCGTGAATGCAGAAACGTGAGCTTAAGTTCGTTACTCAGTTGCGAGTCACTTACGAGCGTTGGTACTCCAGTGACCCGTGAATGTTTGTCGACCGTTCACCGGCTGTTCTCGAGGGAAAGGCGTGGTCCCCTCCGGACCCGCATTCTTGTATTATTGCAATTCACGTCAATGAAACTGACGAATTCGCAAGATTCATATGCCCCTATTCCAGAACGTAACTGTGACGAAGGTATATTTGATTTTATAAATTCAATTCCACAAGCCCGTTAACTTTTCTGAACGCGAAAGATAGTCGAAAATTCTAGACCTTTTCGAGCATTTCATTCACAACGTTTAAGTCTCACATTATAATATCGATTTCTAAAGATTAGAATTGCTATTTTCATGCAATAGTTGAGAAAATATTGCTGTTTCAATGGGGAAAGCAAAGTTACTCCCGTGGAACGGAAACACCTCCGCAGTATAAACTTATACTTTCCTTAGGTCAGGTGGGAATCACCGTGGTTGAACGAGAATCGTCTTGAAAAATACATGACGTGATCGCTAGATTGAACCGTATTATGAAAATTACTATACGAGGGGAACCGTGACGACGAATACAATTCTCGTCATCGTAGTTACAGTCTCATTAGATAAAATTGACGCAAACCGTCGCGCCAATTCTTCTTCAAATATAGATACATCATATCAAGTACGTCTCAAAATAAAACACAAATGTCGTCAAACTATAACGCAAATAGGACATAATTATGATAAATATAATTAAATATAAAATTGCGAAAAGATTTTTTAAACAAAAGTGAGCAAAAGTTAAGGAAATTATTTGATTTGTATTTCAGATGATGCAGGAAGGATTTTATCTACGGAAGCTCCTCTTAATCGTAATATTAGCGACATGCTTGTCGATCACCGCATCAATGACCCGGGAAAGGCGGCACGTCGGTACGGAGGAATCTAGTCATCAACCAGACAGGATGCAAACGCCGGCTGACCGTAGTTTCAAGTCATCGACCAGCACGGGCAACGAGATAACTACGGATGCCGGAAGGAAAGTATCGCACAGGCTGATTGGTGGCCACTTGCGAGCGGACGCGAAGCAAGAAACAGACGAAACGTTCTGGGACGACGGGATCTTGTTATCATCTTCTGGAAACGGAAGGGAGACGAAGATCAATCGCAAAGAGGAAGACGATGACAAGAAGACTCTTTCGCAGCAAGTGAAAGAGGGAAAATACGGTCTCATTCAAAATGAAATCTACAAAAACCATCCTAAACGACCGGGGATAATTAGTTACAAAGGTAATTCGGAGGTGCCGAAGGACACGATCGACAATTTAGGCGGTCTCGACGAGGATGAAATTTGGTTGGCGGAGAACCACGTCCTCGTGTTGAGAGGCGGGAAATTTCCTGACCATGAAGAGACGCAAAGTAGCGGAGACAGTGCGCCGACTTGGCCACCGATTGATAATTACAAAGCGCCCAGAAGACAGGTCAAGATACCATCAAAACCGAAGGTACCGCCGCCCTTTCCGGTACAACTTACAGATGGCGGACCGATACAGATCATAGGACCGAATGGAACCAAGGAGATCGCTAACGGGATCGATTATAAAAAGGACCCATTATTTACCAAAGGATTATTATCAGAAGACGGCCCACTTTTCGCAGTTCTTTCGAATGGAACAATCGTAATGCCCGACTTAAGAAATGTAACAGACACGCCGGAGGAAGATAATTCGGAGCCGAAGAGTACAGATAACACGGAGAAGTCTGAAACTTTGCCACCTGGTAGTTTGCCACCTTTTTACCATGCCATACCACCCGGTGCGGTGTTCGTACCTCCACCAAGTAATCAATCGGAATTCGATGAAGAAGATCAGTCTATTTACTATCCGCCACCATATAGCTTTCAGTATCAACAAGACAACACAACTGCAGTGCCACCAGGTCCTCTGGTACCTGGAATCATTCTGCCGCCCCCACCAGATTTCTTCTCTGCTCTCGAAGAAAAGAAGAGCACGACGAAGAAATACACAAAGCGACCCATTGGGACCACGCCTACGCCCAGACTCAGACCCACTTATTTGCCACCAAGGAAACTCTCAACTAAACAGCACAAGAACACTACCGTAATACCAGTCACAAAAGTTAGATCACCCATCCATGTACCGGCTAACACAAATATGTACAGTCGAACGCCGCACAAGAATCTGACCAAAACAAGTACTGTGAGATCTAATGTAGTAAAGACTGTCCCATACATTGAAGTGACGACTACCACTCCGGATAAACCGACGACACTCGATAATCCTGAATTTTATAGCATCGGTCCTTTAGAGAATCAGGTGACGAACCAAGAGAACGTGCAAGAAAAAAATCAGGCTTGGTCGGGTCTAGTAACCAGTAAAACGATTCCTATAGTGGCGTACTACGCCACATCCACGCAGTCTACCTTGGAGAAGCCCGTGGAAGTGACACCAGCCTCAATAAAGAGTATTATAACGACTAGCAATCCGGAACGAGCGCCTAGCCAGACCTCTTATTACTTTTATGAAGAATCTAACGAGCAACCAGAACACACCACACCGAATCCCTCGTCATTTTATTATAAAACGACTACGGAGTCACCATTATATGAAACTGTAACTCAACCATTAGAGGAGACGAAGAAACAATATTACAGCGTGGAGACAATTCCATCGCGAGAAACAACTAAAGATTATAGTATTAAGTTTATCGGTTCACCGGTGAAAAATTCTGGGCCGATTCGTTATAGAGACTCGACCGTCACGCAAACTTCGCCGAGATACGAAAGTGGTGCAGCAAGAACTCAGGGACAACGTATGTTACCTGATCACGCATCTCTTTACTATCAGACTATATCTGCTCGTCCAGCTGTCTCTATACAATCTTATTATACTACTCCAAAGCCGCAAACCTATTATAGGCAAGAGGCGAAACCGAAACCGATTTATCAGTACAGTTTCGAGGCTGCGGACTATTCACAACGTGGTAATCAAAGGCAACACCAGCAGACACTTAACGACTATCACAATATAAAAATTGATGGTAATTTTCATAACAATCATCGATATGATTACGAAAACAATGAATCATTACCGCAGAAGAGAATGAGGCCAGAAGTGTACAAGAATCAACGGCCGATTTATTCGTCGACAACACCCCAGGCGGTGATAAGCACTACGCAGAATCCTCAGCATGCTTATTATACTCAGCAGGATGAAAAATTCTTGGATGATGTTACAAAAGAGTATTTCACGATCTTCGGTAAAAAGTTACCGCACAAAGGGATACCAAGTACAACTCCAATATATTCTAAATCGAACAGTGTTACGGAAAGACCAAATTATAACGTGAACACGTACATAGAAAGTTTTGAGACTCCCGAGCCGCCTGTGTACAAGACACCCAATGTTAAAGTTCACTATGGAGATCAATCACAACGACAATACTCCCTCAAGGATGACATACTTGTCAACTACAGAGAGCCTCTGCCTCCTATTAATCCTGACAGTGAATTCATTACGGTGGTCAATCCGAATCAACCACAACCACCCAATTATAGAATACCTGAGAGAGGTCAATCTTTGGCACCCATACGTGCTTATTCGCCACAACCACTCATTAACTCAAGAAATGGCCCGTCTACAAACTATGTTCCGGTTGTAGAATCTCCGGAAGAATTGGACGAATCGTACCCGCAGCAGTTACCAATATCGTTAGAAGACGATATTAAAGTCAATTATCGTGATCCACGACCCACGATAAATCCGGATGCCGAGTTTATCGATCCGGTTCCTGTGCGGGAGAATCAGCGGGAAAATCCAAAAGCATATTTCGCGTACCGGTTGCCAGGTGACGGCGGCCACTTTTACTTCCTAACGCCGCAGGCAATCACGCAAAGGCCGGAGCAGAACGCCGGCCACCTCTATTCGAAATCGAGGGGAAGTAGACTGCTGAGGCGCCGACGGAGGCCAGGCAACGTTTGATAACTATAGCCCATAGGCAACCGCGCCATATGTCATTAATCATTATACTTCGGATGTTCATGCATTCATGATAAACTTAGTATATAAATACATGAATTAATAGAATAAACAAGACAGTAAAGATTATCCGAATTAAAATAATTTGAAAAAGAAAATGTATTCTGACAAATCTGGCGGATAATCGATTTTGGAAAACCAAAGGACAGAGAAAAAAAATATAAGATTGCATAAATATCCGTAGTCTATAAATCATCGAGGACGCACTCAGAAATGCGTGTCATAAAGAACGCGATACAAAAATCGACGATGAGACGTTCTGTATCGTTAATAAAATATTTATTGTACGTGTAAATAAATATATGTAAACGTGTATCTTGTATGTACAACTAATTGTAAGTTAGATGATTATCAACGCCTCAGTTACGATATATTAAAATGCTTAATTTATACGTCCTAACATTTATCCCTCCCATGCTTTAGACTTAGATTGATACAGATGCGATGTAATATGTGTTAACGCTGCTTGCGTGCGACGATAGGTATGTGGCGATTTTTTAAGCGATTTTCGCGTCGCGTACTCGCGCGATATCTGTGATTAATGGTCGATAGTAAACGCGTGCTGTGTACATATAGTTATGATTAACGATATATATACGTAAGTTTTATTGTAGTGCTGAGAGCACATTTTTATAAGTCACCCGAAATAAATATGTTATACATATATACTTGAACAAGTGTGAAATAAAGTTTGTTTACAAAAATGAAGTTTTTCTCCTTTATGAAGAACAGAATATCGATGGAAGTTAGTAGTTAAATTATCAAAAAATAAATATGTCACGTATTGCATGTCTTAGCTGCTGCTTGCATATACAGGTATAAAATAGTTGATAATTATCTAGTACTGATAGATTCAATGTAAAGGAAATACAGACTTACCAGTGTCGATTTCTTGTGTCTGCGTTGGATCAGGTAATGGTTCATCGTGCAATCGTAAATAAACCTCCACTGCACATTTCGCTGCTTTAAAATAAAATGGATGAGCTCGAAGAACATCCTCTAACCTTAGAAGACCCACGTAAGATCGCAAGGTCATCTTTCTCATACAGTAGGTATGAAAGTCGAATTGATCTTCTATGATTTCAGAAAAGTGCTATAATGACAGAATGCGTTTAAGAGGCGGGTGGTGAAAAATATTCGCAATTGTACGCTATGAAACTTACCCTGTCAACTTCGTGACATTTTTTTAGCGCCTCTCCGTATTTCCCAAGGCGTTTGTAGGCGATTGCAGCTTCCGTTTGAATCCACATGCACTGCATTTCGTTTAAATTTTCCATAGCTAGAACCCCTTCTCTTGTGAACTTGCTGCATGTTTCTTCTGCTTCTTTGATGAGATTTGCACGCAACATGTACTTGGCACATTTCGAATTAATATATCGGTCCGCTGTATCTAATCCTTGTGCTTCGTCCAACCATTTATAAGCCTCTTGAACGTTACCAGCATGCTAATAATAGCAAAATGCATTAAAATTTATGTCAAACATATTGTAAAATGAACTCAGGCATGAAACATACCTTATAAATGCGGCCTTTGGTAACAAAAAGTTCTATAAGCGTAGGAGTATGTTCTATGGCAGCATCGATTTCACTTAGTGCTTTTTCTGTAAGTCCGAGATGGTCATAATGTTGTGCTAAATAATAGTAAGTCCATAACAATGCCGAAGCTGGCTCCCGTGGATTATCTTTCTCTTGATCAGTAAAGTGCCCGTGAGCTTTTAATGCATCCTTATATTCCAAAACCAAAGATTGTATAGTATCAACCTTCTGTTGATCAGTATACAAGGAACGAAGATTTACAAATAGGGGCGGTACACCTTTATGAAGTCCTACAATGCAGAGAATGTGTTGCCAAAAATTTTACGTAAAAATGAATGAAGAGAAATGGTATGAAAAATAGGAATTTTTTATTAAATATAAGGATGACGTATAAATCTTACCTCTCCGTAAGTACCGATCTACTAATGTTCTAAATTCATCTCCTGCTGCACAATTTAATTGCAAACGACGAGGTGCTAGTGCTCGAGGGAACAGTTCTTCATATCTCAAAAGCATAGCTAATGTTTCTCCAGGTTCTGAATGTCTTTCGGCTTCTGCTAGCCTCGCGTAATAAGTTGTATTCTCTGGATTGATATTTAGAAGTTCCTTGTAAATCTGTACTGCTTCTGCATATTGTTTTAATTGTAATCTTAATTTACCTACAAAAAAGATTGCGTCAATAAGGCATTACTATAACAGACCAATGTTACATGCAAGTAAAAAATCTAAATTTACCATATATTTCTTTTACAGTAACTTTATCACAAATTTGATCACTATATTTGTCGAGATGTTTCAATGCTTGTTCAGATTCACCTGATTCTTGAATTACCATGTTTTGGTACAACAATAACTCACTATGTTCATAATCATAACAAATCTGTAATTAATATTAAGAAATATTAATCATGTATAATCTGTCCTTTTATATTATTTAAAATATCTTTACGTGTTTCTGACGGAAAAATTATGCAGTATTAAAACACACACCATTGGAGAATTCCGAAAAGTATCTAGAATTTTAAGTGCCATTTCGTAGTCCTTTAATAAGTGGTATGAGATAGCGAAACCAATCCATGAAGCACGCTGCGTAGGGCGTAACATAAATAACTGATATCTCGTATCCTGAAAATTTCAAATATATAAATTGATGTGCAGTATTCATTATTATATCTGTTTCTACATATATACCTATATATTTAGGTACATGTGCATGTAACAATAAATTGCAAAATCCGGATATTAAAGAGAAACTAGGTTAGCAAATTTGTAGCATATTAAAATAATTTACATACAAGTAATAAGTATAAATCAGATCCTTCATTTGTATTAATCATTTACCTTATAACCCTCCAGATCCCTCATTTGAATTTGAAGCAACGATAAGTCCCTAAGAATTTGAATGTTATCTTTGTCCCACTTAAGGGCATTTCGATAACATTTAATAGCTTCATCATATTTCTTATCCGAGCGTTGTAAAAGTCCATAGACATGCCAGCAAACATGGGATTGCAGATCATTCCTGAGACCTCTTCGAACATGATCATATGCTTCTTCTTTGCGACCTAAGCAATTCAGAGTGAGACCTTTCATTGCCAAGGTCTCTCCATGTTCACTAAATTTAGGGTTTGATAAAATTTGCTTTGCAAACTTTATCCCATTTTTATACTGTTTGTGTTCGTAACATCTCTGTAAGAAACATAAATACGTTTCATAGGATAAAACGTTTTCATGATTTCAGTACTATATGTATGTGAACGAACTGACATTCACGGATTATCGTGAAAGTCAAACAAGGGACTACGTTCTCGCTCGTGGCATCGATGAAATTCTCGTGAGCCGCGATTGCCAGTGAATTTTTTACAGTTTTCCGAAGAGTGCTACATCATTAGAGCATGATGAGTACTCCTATTTAGCCGGAGAGTGGGGTCCAAAACAGAGTATTTTGATTGCACGTTACTCACCAGGATTCGTTTAAACAAGGCATTTTCTTTGGGTGGCAAGGGATTGCTGGAGGGCATTTTTGTATAAATACAAAAATATAGGGCCTTTTCCACCCGGTAAACTTAATTTTCACCACAAAACCTCGTGGCCACAAACGAAGAAGTCGATCTTCGATCACGTGATCATCTGCGACAATGCTGTTCCGCCGGAAGTTCTGAATCCACGGTACCGCACACTTTAATATATCTCCTCACTTTCATAAATACGTAGAGAACAATGATATTCTCGTCACTTATCCTAACACTTATATTACCTTCCGTTTTATCCGTTCAATGATTTTACCCTTTTCGGAATTGCATGAAATACGTGTTTACAAGTAACGATAGTTAACAAGGCTTAAGGAGCATTCCTATAAACACAGCGGCACCGAGGTTATTGAAAATATAATATAAGACAAATTCTATCTTAGGAAAAACTTAATATTGTACTGTACATGCATAATTAAAATCCCTTTATAAACATAATTAGTTTAATATCATTTATTATTTTACGAATCGTGAATATTCGTGAATAACATTAAGCATTGTTTCCAAACAAGTTGCATCATGATTGGTCATATATTGATATATATGTCATACGTTTTAATACATTTGCGTTCTATTACTACAGTGCAGTCTTACAGCATCTTACAGTGCCGTGAGTGAAGTGCACATGGACTTTCGAGGCTA